ACAGGTACAACGTGCCCGTATGTGAGTGGGCGTGTGTGCGTGTGGGTGGGTGTGAGAGGGTTTGAGCGTGAGCGTTGGGCAACGTGGTGTGGTGAGTCCCTGAGTTTACAATTACCACTCTCTTTTATATACATTTGCCTACTCCCTCCGCTCCGCTAAAGAAACGTTCGCTCTCGTGTCAAGTATGCAAGATACACAGTAAGGAATACCACACGCTAGCCACATGTCTCCCATACACGCGCGGCGGTGGTGTAACGGTTAGCGTACCGCACTGTTGAATCCAAGTTAGCGGGTTGAAACCCGATCAAAGCCGTAATTTTGTAAGAGGGAAAATCCTTCGTACGCCTTCCTTCGGAGGGGACGTAAAGCCGGCTGTCCCATGTTAGTTGATTTACATGCATGGAAAAGATCATCAAGCCTAAATGACTCCTCTGAGCAAAATTCAAATCTCCTGTTTCTCGCCCAAGGAGTACCTCCTTTCTCTGCTAGTTGGTGAAAGATGCGTGGCGAAATTTGCGTGGTCAGACCGAAGAGCTGGCCTCATGGCCTGAGTCTCACCGCGTAAAATAAGGCTTCAATTCGATTCGATTCGATTCGATTCCATTCCATTCCATTCAATCCAATCCAATTCAATACTCCAGGCGTGGATAAAAAAAACAGGATTCATGTCTGAGACGACCGCTAGCTGAGAGAACTCGGATGTAACCAGCCCTAAAACGCCGAAAAGATGGAACAGATTTTTTGGAGTTCGCATTGCACTCCCGTGCTGTGTCCTTCCCAGACGGCCGTGCGTCGCCGCTCTATTTGCAGCTGCAGCGCCGCAGGGCGACGCCGTGTGCGTGCTGTGTCCCGCCCACGACGCATCGCCGCGCGTCGCGGCCTCGCCCGCCCTGTCGCCGCGTCGTTGCATCCGGACCGGGTCGCGGCCCTGCGCTTCCAATTTATTGCCGGAGAACATCCGGCTCCTGTCAACGCACTGTCATTTTAGAGGCCCGCGAATTGGGAGGAGGTCGACGGGTAAGGATCCTCGTGCTTACGCACAGAACCACGCGAGTGCAACCGGCCTGGGGTACCCGAGATTGGAGTTTGGTCTCCACCCCGTCACACTCCTCCCTGACGCTCATCGCTAGGTGAACGCACAGCTGGTCCCCCTGCACGTTACACGTAACAGCTTTATTCGAGTGGTTGGGTAAAGAACAAGCCCTATGGCCTGAGGCTCGTTAATAACAGACACATCATCATGAACCTTAAAATAATAAATAATAACAATTAAAATAATACTTATTAAAATATTATTATCATCATAATAATACATGTAGCGTAATATATTTGCCTTTTGAATGAGTTCGCCTGACGGTTCCACTGACAGATTGCTCTTGCTGGAAAATCAAGTGTCGTACACTTCGCACACACTGTCCTACACCTGGAGTGCCATACAACTTCGCATAATTCATTTTTAGATAGCATTACATCCGAAGAGCTGTTCCCACCAGTGCCGTCTCCAACACAATTTCGTTTTCATTCTATAAGAAAAACAACACATTTGAACTTTTTGGTCTACGTCAACAATTACATTTTTCGTTCTCGCGCACGTACGTATCTCACAGTAATACACGCAGTATACAGGAAGATTTATAATGCTAAGGTAAATTAATTGCGAAAACGAAAATACACGTTTTCGAGTCACATGATTCCGAAAAAGTGTTTTTTCGAAACTTTCATCTCCCCTATGGTCTCAATTGTCTGGAAATGGTTTAGGTGCTCGCGTTGACCAAAGACAGACAAACGATCAGTTAGGCTTTCTGCCCGCAACTAAATGTTTGGAATGAAAGATCCAAATAATGCGGTCGACATGTTAGAGGAAGTAGGTTACTATACACAGTAACCAGATTTTTCCACTTTTTCGATGTAGGGCTTCGAAAATATGACTTTTTCTAACAAAAATAGCTCTTATTTACAGGAAGCAAAACTATAATGAAAATGCGTAAATTCGGAACATGATGCACGATTCCACAGTTAAGTAATTTATAGAAACTTATTGGCTTGTGCCAACTGATTTGCTTATTCAAATACGGTCTTCAAATGTCCTCTGGAGTATAAAGCCATTGACTGCCAAAGGTGGACGGATGTACAGAGTCGTTTTTTCGAATTTCAAATCATGCAATATATTATTCGTTATAAAACCCCACGATTTACTGTAAACACGAATCAGAAACTCTCCATCTCTAAAAAATGTGATATATCAGCCTAGCTTTCCGTAGTGAGTGATTTACAGAAAGGATTTGCTGCGTTGTGTATTTTGAAAATCACTTTCCTGGGTAATGTGTGGGAGAAGATCCAAGAGTTCTTAGAAACTTTGTTTGCTATTGGTCTTGTATTCTTGTGCACGATTTTCCTTGATTAAACCTAGGAAAGCGTTTGGTGACCAAACTTTCCTTAAGTAAGTTTTGCAGAAACCGCAGAATGTCTTGTCTCCAAGGAGTGCAACATCCACATCTCGTCCACTGCATTCCAATTCCATCGTTTTGCTGCCTAGCTAGCCAGGTACATAACTCAGAAAAATTTATAGGTTAAATATGGGTAAAAAATTGACACTAATAGAGCTACAAAATAGCACAGACTTTCTCGTACAAGTTAGTAACTGAATCTCTCTTGTCTGGGCGATTTTGTTTTGGTGTTATTCCACCCTCTTCCTAGTTGCTATTAATCGGCGCTTTAAAGACAATTTTTTCACATTTTCTCAATGTTTCGCTATTGTAACTGTGGAATTGAAATATTAATTTAAGAATATTATAGTATGGTACTAAGTACATGGAGATTTTGGTTGAAAAATTTGGAACAGTTAGGTAAAAATGATGCTTTGCGAAATACTTATAATTCTTCAATAGGTTCACTTGCAGAGATCTTAAAAATAAATTCTGGTATCATAAACTATATTACAGAGAATCTTTTTTCCTTCCCCTGTAGCAACCGAAGTTGCAGACGAAGCCTCAGATCTTTATCCATGGTGTAAGATCTCCGTGTCGTCTACTCTAGGCCTTCTGAGAACAGGCAGGAACACCACTCGAGGGGCGCGATCGAGACGGCAGTCGCGATGTCAAGGGAGGTGACAGGGATTTGGCGTCTTCTTTGGAGGCTCGAGGAAGTCTTAAAATAAAGAATGACCCCGGCAGCGGCGACAATCTGTGAGAAAAGTCCGTGAGGCGAAATTGGCCACAGTTCTCACAGATGAGAGACCGTTGGGCAACTCGCACTATTTCAATCACTCCACCAATGTCATATTACACACATGAAGTCGAACAAAAAGTTATTAAGAGAGGACTAATAGTGGTGTGCACAGAAGTAAGTCGTTTTGAACTGGATATTGTAAAAAATGCAGTGAAATCCTCAAATTTACATCTAAACAAATAAAAATATATTTTATGAATTTCAAATAATCCACCATTAAAACATCATATTACTGTTCGAGAAGTGTCGTTCGAACTAATAACGTCGTATATCAAGGCCTAAAGGCCGTTTTGCAAGAGTTTCTAAAAGTTTACCTTTTGTTCAAAAACAGGATACGTTGAATTAATGTGTCTCCCCTCTTTTCTTCAATGCTACAAAAAGCTCTCTTTTCTTTTGACGTTAATAACTTGACTCTTACCGGAAGTCTTAAGAAATCACGCTAAAAGCTAATGAAACTCGTTCTGTGTTGTGAGGTCATGAATGACCCAGCCTTCACTCACCTCAACGTATGGGAATATTGAAGCCAGTGACAGCAACACCAGATATGTGTCAACTGCACGAGTGGAATTGCAGGCCTGTAGGAAAGTGACCTCGAACGCCATCTTGGCACCCTCGGCACTCGCCCACGCGCCCGCGAACACCTACCCATCCACACACAAGCACAACCACCTCATACCCACCCCCACACAGCCACCCTCCACCCCCACATACACCATTCGGAGCTCCGCCTGCAGCCGGGACAAGCTCTAAGCCCCCGACTGATCTCCTGTATGTGGTAGTGCAGTGCAGTGAATGGGAGTGTAAGTAAGGGATAAGGAAGTGGAAGGACACAACCAATCTTATCACTACCACGCTTAACACAGAGTCACGACGAGTATGCTGCAGCCTTATCACGCAGCACTAAGGGTACCAGTTTGTTTGGTGTCCCCGGAATTCAATACCGCGTTTGACGTACACTATGAACCACCACTCAAGGAGCACGGACGACCTCAGAACGGCAACTACCTAAGCGAGAACTCGACAGTATTTGGCACTTCCAAAACCCTTCCACCTAGAAGCTACCATCTGGGATGTTCGCCCAGAGAAAAGATAGTAACTATACTCGGGTTGATATAAAACCCTTTTCAATCTACCTGGAGTTCACCACGACGAATTCAATCCCCACAGGGCAACCGGGTCCTTGCAAACTCGAAGGCAAAAGCCCCTCTCCCCTATTCCCCACGTTGCCTCTTGCATTAACGCGTGGGTATCTCCGAGACAACATTCAAAAGTTTTCCCAAAAAATTCCCCACCAGGACTATTACATGTGGGACCGATGCCCCACTCCCACCGACGGTCGGAGGGTACGATCTCTTTCCCACAACGCGTCTCGTCACCAACGGCTTGGGTTTCGCTGGGAAGCTCAGCAAACACGATGGGCGTTTCTAATCACCTTACTAATCGAGCCACTCCAGACACCCCGTGGATATGTACATCGCTTGAGAGAAGGATGAATAGGGAAGAAGTGGCACACCTCCTGCCATCGTGGCAGCTGCGACCTCCTCTCCGAGGTGACGTAAGGAAACTATCGGCTATCTCAGTTGTCCTATCGCAAGACGTCGAAATTTGCAGCAGCGTATGCATCAACGGGAAATAATTCGATATTGCAACAAAGAGGATGTGTTTATAAATTAAATGTAAACATATTAATACACATAACTACAAAACTATATTAATTTATTTTCCTATATTGTACCGTATTAATTTTAGAACCGCTTTCGCAACAGCTTTCAGTTGCGATTCCAGCGAGTCCCCCGCCAAAGCCTTGACCTCCAGGGTACAAGACGCGGCTGCTGCAGGTGGCCGGCATTCGTCTCGCCGCCTCCTCACCGCGCGACGCCCCGCGCATCTGGAGGATGACGTCACACGGGACCACCGCGAGCGCCGTGGAGACGTTCCAAAAGCGGCCATCTTGGCAGCAGATGCTCCCGAGGAGTTTGTTCTCGAGGAGCTTGATCCAGAGGATTTTCATGGAGACGCTTCATTTGTCTAAATTAAAAACCACAAGGTCGCGTTGCGCAATTCCGCGGTCGTCTTGGGGCACGTAGCAAGGGGTTGTCGAAGGATGAGGGTCACTGAGCTTGTCAAGCGGTTTTTCTTTCTTTGCTGGCCAACCGATCTATGAACAACAAAGGCAAGTTTTCGTTAATTTCTATTTCAGAGGCAGCAAACCGATAAATCAAATCTTTCATATAGGTAATGGAATGGAAAACATCATAGACGGTCGAAACATTTATTAAAATTTAAAGAAAATTTCTTACTTGCTTCAAATTAGTGTGCAATGGTATTTAGTGTGTAACACATCATTTCTCCCACAAATTCCCATTGTGTTTGTTGAAATTTGTTTGTGTTAAGAGAATGTATTATGGTCATAATATAAATAACAATGCTGGGTCCAAAATATAAAGCAACACTAATCATCTGGTGATCTGTCTGATCTCATCCATTTTTAAGATGAATAATCTCATGGCAACTTTATATTATAGACGTTCTTATAATGCCTTTTTACGGGATATCCATTTTTGTGAACTTTGCTCATGACGCTAATTGCTGCTGATTTCTTGTAAAGATCTGCTCGCATAATTTTTTAGTTTTTAAATTACGATAGAGTCTGTATGAGCTTACCATACTCCCTAATAAGAAAATAAACAAAGTTATAATATTTCAAATTCTCAAAGCGTCATTCCATAGTCTGCAACCATTCCTAGAACAGCGGTTGAGGACGACGACTATCACCTCTCACTCGGCCAACGACTACCCTTAGTTCATTCATGAAAAGAAAATAGTTGTCAATAAGAATCCACATCGTTTAATTAATTCAATATAGCTTCTAAAAATAGATAGTCCTCTCACTCATTCCCTGTAAATGGAAATATCGTTTGATTGCTTGATTGTTGTGATTTCAGGCAGCTCAACGACTAAAGTCGCTAGTCCCGTAAGTGTACGGCATGTTTTCGCTCGGTCTGTGATGGTCTTCCCCCGCTGTAAGGAGAAATCTGGCGCCGACCTACTGTCCGATAGGATTTTTCATTCAGGAATCGCCCACCAGCGAGGCACCGTTCCAGCTGGACAAGCTCTAAGTTCTCGACCGAACTCTCGTCATTAGTAGTGGTGTAGTGCATGTTAGTGTGTGTGTGTGTGTGTGTGTGTGTGTATAAGAGGTGAGGATGAGGTACAAAGAGATCGCGCGCGGTCCATGACCCGTGTGTTAGCGTACTACTCTGGCACTCGCCTGATGTTGATCGGAGAAATCACAGAAAACTACCGATCAGATCAGCCGGCCGCTTGAATTCTTCTCCAGACAGCGTTTGAGTTCGACCTAGTTGTCAAGCTTAAGTACATTTTGAACTACTTATATTTTTAATATACTCTATAAAAATTATATATGACCTTTCTTAAAAAGCATATTTTAGAAACTTTCATTGAACAAAACATTGAATTTGAATTGATGGCTTATTTTACGTGGCGAGACAACCAATTTTGTTATGCTCCTTTCACCCTAGGAGAAAGAAGGTATTACTTGGGCGACGAAAAAGGCGATTTAAATGTAGCTCAGAGCCTTCATTTAAGGCTAAGGATCTTTTACACGCAATAAATCTACTACCGTGGGAGAAACGACTTTATTTTCCATTCGAAGGAATGTGTACGAATTATATTTTTGTCTGCGAAGCTAACCGTTACATCATCGATGCAGAAAATCTATCAATATACAATACTTGTGCGATTTCATTCTTTTTGCAATCTTCGAAAATACAGACATGAGAAAGAGAGAGAGAGAGGGAGAAGAATGACAAAGAGTAGGAGGATAAGGGCAAAGAGGAGAAGGACAAACAAGAGGTGGAGGGCAAATAGGAAGGAGAGGAAGAGGAGATGGTGGAGGAAGGGGAGAACGAGGAGTGAAGGGAGTGGGAATAGGAGGAAGGGGTGAAGGATGAGGACTAAGTGGAGGATATAGAAGGGGCAGGAGATGGTCGAGGAGGAGGAGGAGAAGGAGGAGAAGAAGAAAGAGAAAGAGGCCCTCCCCGGCGCCAGTGCCCGTGTCGCTCGTCCGCGCGCAGGCCCACTGCGAGTGTCGGGCAGGCGAGGCGCCTCATTAATTCCGCCCGTCACAGCCGCCGCGGCCTTGGCGCCCTCTCGCAC